AAACAGTAGATCTAACAATTAAAGGTTCTCTAGAATCTTTATCATCCACAAATACTTTTGAGTTATCTGACTTGTCTGAGGTGATCGTAACCAATTCAGAAATTAATAGTGAAAAAGACCCTAAATTGGATATTATTAATATAAAAGAACTTGGATTAGAAGCTATTAATACAAAAGAGTCTTTTATAAAATTGAAAATATATATAAATATATGAAATATTGCCTTTTTGTGCATATCCAAGTCAGTGTATAGCCCTTTAAAACTAATGTTACGTCCCAATCTCAAACAAGTACCAGTTAAGTTTTTCTTTCCTTAAACCTTTCATTCATAACGTGGTTTTTAATACAAGAACCTGACTTATAGAAGACATGCCAATATCTAAGTATTTTGAGTCGATAGGATGAACGTATAGGAATGAATTTTCAAACTAGAAAAAAAAAGAGTATTCCAGCTAAAAGAGTTCCAAACAAAATATTAAATCAGTAAATCAAAATAAATAAGTTAATATAAAATTATAAATATGAATAGTAAGATAAAATTAAAGAAAAAATTTGAAAATATCAAAGTAAAAGACCAAAAAGATAAAAAATATATGATAACCATATCCAATACCAATAAATTTGCGCTCTTTAGCCATTAGTACTTCGGAAAGAGGCAAAAAAATTAGGACCTATAATTGACCCCATAATTGAATTACTAACCACCGGGTAGAACTAGTTGAAACCGACTAAATTTTATTATGGAAGGTAATTTAGAGGGCATTTGCCAGGTGCTAATTGATTATAAAGTAGAAAAAGCGTTAGAAGATTATCAAAAACAAGTTCTTTATCAACCACTACCTCTAAATCTGAAAAAGAACCAACTTTTAGTCAATCTACTACAGCACCAAATAAGGACTATCAAACTTCTTAACAACCAACTTCTTTAGCTACTCATTGAGAAAAAATTAACCGCATTGAAGAGGCATTAGAAGATAAACCTCACTTTCTAAACCTCTCCATTTTAAAATAATTTAGAATAAGGCACAAACACAAATGTGCTAAAAAAAAGAAGGGGATTACTCCCCCAAGTATAGATATTAGTAGAAGTTAATGCGACGATAAAGGAAGAAAAAGGCACAGACAAGAGCCTATGTAAAATTTTTTCAATCGCATATTGATTATCCACCTAATTTTAAATTAGCACATCGTAAATGTATACAAGGTTATGTCGATCACCGAATCGAAAAAACTTAAGTGCAAATTTTAATTTACTTTACATTCAATATTCAAGTATACTCATATATCTAAAATTTCGTGCTGAAAACTTTTGCTTAGAAGTCAAACTACATGGTTATCATAGTAAAATTTTGAGTTATCTAAAAAAATAGAAAAATCGCAAATAACTCAAGATTTTACTATAATAACCGTAGTTTGACTTCTAAGCAAAAGTTTTCAGCACGAAATTTTAGGTGTATGAGTACACTTGAATATTAAATATAAAATAAATTAAAATTTGCACTTAAGTTTTTTCGATTCAGTAATCAACATAATCTTGTATACAATATTACATCAGTGATCATCACTGATTATACAGGGCTGATATAAAAAGATATAAGTTATTCGTTTTTTTTTTTTGCTTTTGTCATATTTTTATATATCTGTATATTAGTATTTATTTATTTATTTCTTTTTAGATAGTAGATTCATCGTCTTCTTTTGTTGGCTGGTATCTTTTCTTGCAGTCGGTTGGTGCCTTTTCTTGCATTGTTGGTATCGTCCAGTTGGTGATTCTTTCGCTGGTTAGTGCCTTGCGTCATTGGTGTTGTCCTGTTCGGTATTTTTTTTCATTTTTTGGTGCTTTGCATCGTTGGTATCATTAAGTTCGGTGTTTCTCTTTCACCGGAGGTTGGTTTCTTGCGTTGTTGGTTTCTTGCGTCGTTGGTGTTGTTGGTGTTGCGATTCACTGGAATCACTCTTGTTTGTCATAGGGTGTTTATGTATATTTGTTTGTTTTATACAGTTTAGTTCTTGTACTAACAATACTGTATTTATTTTTCTTTAAATCCATTTTAGGCTTTTTTATTAGTGTTTGCTTGCATTTGGTTAGTCTGTTTTTCTTCGTTGGTTTCATCCATTTCAGCACCTTTTCTTTCAACGTTTGTCATTGGTGTCGAATTCTGCTTCAGGCGCATATTTGTTTTTTGTTTTTTTTCATTCTGTTATTTTTGTTCGTAATCTCATTCGTATTTTTCGTGTAGTACTTTGAGTTTCTTTTTGTTCCTAGACATTTATGAACTTTCTTGAGACGTATGATGTTCCGGGTCAAGTTTTAAGTTGGTTTTCTTTCTTGCCTTGCTTGTCACACTGGTGCGTCGTCAGTGGTAGTTTCATGTGTCGTGAATCTGTGGCGCTGTTCTTTGATAAATTAGTTTGCTTGTCAAAAATTTTGCATGCTTCGTTGGGATTGTGTAATGCGTTATTATTGTGATTCTGTAGTTTGTATCCTGGTGATATCTTTCTGGGACTGTGTTGATGACATTTTGATGATTTGTTGGATGTTTGTAACGTCGTTTGGTTAGAATAGTTAGGGTTAGATTGTTAAATAGAATAGATTATGTATTAGTTAATATTTAAAGCTATTTGTTACGATGATAAAAATGTTCATTATGATAATAAAAATTTTGTTATGATATAGATAAATTTTTTTATTTTAGTATGTATTTAGTTATTTTTAATAAATTAAAAAAATGTAATATTTACATCATATATTAATTATGACTACGTGATATAGGGGTGCACCGTGGTGCTGTTTTAAAAATCTCTATTTTAAAATTATTTCGAAATATTTCGAAAATAAAATTATGTAATATTGTGTAATATTGCATAATAAAGTATTACGAAATATGCCGTGTCGATCCGTAATACTTGCACAAGTTTTCGGGCTATAATAACTTACGTAAGATTACAGTTATATATTTTGCTGATGTAGTAATATTAAAAAGAAATTTATTAACTTTTAAGCCCAGTTATTAAAAGCATATTTTATTTTGCAATATTAAATACAAAAAAATTAGTTATAGCTTTTTTTAAAACAATAAATATTTTATATTTAAATACTATTAGCAAAAACAATACAAATCTGATTATAAAGAATTAGTATTTCAAGAAGTATTAAGTATAATTAAGCCAAAAAAAAGATCTAAATAGGAATTAAATAGCAGATTAATTAATATTGTAAAAAAACTACATTTACTCTCTAAATTGTTTAAAAAAAATATTAATATAAGAGAGATAGAAGAAGCTTTAAAAACTTATTTAATTGGTGATCTACCAGTCAACCAGAGAATGATCATAGTAAAATGTGACTCAAATTATTTATAAAAATTGAGGGTCTCCAAATGTGGCGTGTGTGCATCTAAAACTTTTTTTTATACTAAGTTAATCACTTTTCTAACTTAAGAGACT